TATGTATAGGGGGAACCTTTGTGTTTTTCTAATAAATCGCCAACGACTCAACGCGACTACAGGAACAATTTTGAATGCAAGTTGGTTTGATCGCTATACTGCGCAGTGTTCTCATCGGGAATTTATCTCTCGTATCTCGTAAAGGAGTTTGATTGTTGTGTCTTCAAAATGAGACTTCAATAAATTTTTTGAAGTTTCCACAGGTTCTGTTCTGACCTTGATGTTACTTCGTACACATTATAGATGTTAAAAATCTTGCAAAAAAAGGAATCAAAAGGGATCGAGCTCCTGACCCTCATCGTGTCAGCCCGCAACTTGCCAATGCGCTATGCCGCCGCTTTAGGTAGCAGTTGGGCTACGGGTATTTGATGTGCTCGGCGGGATCCTGATGGAATCAGGGCCCATAACTTCGCGTACAAGACGGCTCTGCAGATATCGAGGGTAGATATGTTACTAGCGCACCCTGAGAGTGTTGACGGTATGCAGCTTGTGCGGATTGGCCACCTCGATTTCTGACCATTGCCTTGTAAGCAAAATGCGTCTGTGTCCGAATGGAAGCCGGCAGAATGTTCTGATTGTGGAGTGCTGTGCCAGTCGGAGTGTCGGACTTGTCATGTCGTCTATATAGGAGAGCCAGCCGACCACTCAGTATGTATAAATGAACATCTGGGGCGATATGTATTAGGTTGTCCGAAAAATAATGTCGCATGGCATCCTACCGCGACAGAGTGACCACAGAAAACAGCGAGTGGGGTATCATATGGTAGAGCAAAGCAAGCTCTTAAAGACAGTTTACAAACCTTCGTGGAAATCTTGCTCTACCTGAGTTTGAATCCAAAATATAAAGAGTTTCGGACACCCGAAGTATTATATCTTTGTCCATAGACGTCTTAGGAATCTCCAATTTGCACAGGCATGTACTCCCCATATGAGACATTCACCTGTATAGTTTGTGGTATTTTTCCATGGCTACAGTAGGACAGATGGATACAGGTCAAAAGTGCGTGTAGCGTTTTCTGGTTTTTTGCGAACAATTTGGTTTTTCTCGACAACTAAAGCTTATAGCTATAACTGAAAATTCATGGTTAGACTATCATAGGTTCATACTACAGAATCACCTACTTGAGAGAAGCTCAAGATTGCTTTAATATGCCGAAATTCGTTTTCTGAATTTACAGCTATGGAAAAACCGCGAAAATGTGCGTACGAGTGTCTGGTATAGTGAATCCATACGTGAGCAAGTTAGGGGTTCCCAGGACTTTCTAAACGGAGATATGATTTTTTTCTCGTTTTTTACACTTCAATGCCTTATGAAATTTGGCTTCAATCTTCACGCAGATCAAACCTGGCGTGAAGGTTCGAGCTTTATTTTGTAGTGCTTGCTTCAATCTATCGGTTGATACCCCATTTACTTACTTTCCTGCTCACCCTGCCGCGATATTGCATGGTAAAACACAATACGACATCCAGACAGCCTAATATTAATCGCCCGTCCGTTAAGAGTCCCATTCAGGTGGCATCCGCCTCATAGTTCGATGCTCTGGGAATCTGTGTTCCTCCTTGTTGTCCACCTTTTGGAGGCTCTAGTAGCCAAATATTGTAGCATAATGAGTAGCAGCACTTCGCTGTATAAGCTAAGATTTTCGGTATTTTATATAATTCCGAATGGAATCTCAGAAAATCCCGGCTCATTTTTTGAGTCATTTATCTTTGCAAAACTCAATGAAAACATCGTAAATTTATGCTTTGATCTATTACGACATGGTGAGCTTGTTTATGGGAGTAAAAAGTGAAAATCAAAGTTGACAAAATCATCGATAAACGTCTTCTCGCGAGTTCGGAATTATGGAAAAACTAGCACTTTCATAATAAGTCTTCAGACATACGACGCTTTCATGGATCTTGCAGAGATAAATGACTTTGAAAATAAGCCGTGATCCCCTGAGGATCCCGTGCGGGACTACACAAAATCTCAGCTTATACAGCAAAGCGCTGCTATTCATTCTCAGTCGAAGGGATACCTCCGGCGTGACGTCACGGTGATGTCACAAGCAGGCGAATGGGACCCCTCTCCGGGACGCGCAAATCTCTGCTCCGGAGGTGCGCCAGATTTGGGAGAGCCCCGGAGCACCAAAATGGGTGAAATGGCAGGGCTCCGGAGCGCTCCAGAGCGCGAAGTGGCAGTCTCGCGCCATTTGCCCGCCAGAGTTGTTTCTTCGACTGTCTGAGTTATACTACAACACCTCTGCGTCACCTCTGCTTCGCAGAGAGCACCGGTCCCACTATCTGTACGCCTTACTCATTCCCGCACAATAGTGACATTGAAACTCACCGCGCTATGCCGACTAAAAGATGGTTTGTAAACAACTATTCATTCTAAAAGTTTTTCCATATGAGATCGGTAATTTCGCGTGAGTGAGACTTCTCCCAAAAGAACAAATGCTGATTTGAGTCGGTTTTTGAAGTTTTCATGGCTTGGTATTCGCCATAAGATATAATATCACTGTGGGGCTACATCTATATGCAAAAATCTTTTCAAATGATCGGGTAAAATCTTGGCAAAGTGAACACTTACGCAATTAATTCTTTTTGGCCCCATTTTCGTAATATACTTTAGTTCAATTTCCAAGCTAATAGCATCGTTTGCACATTAACTTGTCAAACATATCCGTGACCTTGCAAAAAGTTGTGGTACAGGCTCAGTTTTACTGGCCAAAAGCCAAGTGGATCGATTAACGCGCATTTTTGAGGGATCCACACAATGGATCCGCTCATACTTTTGTGCAATGGACTCTCATGTAAGTAGCTTGCGCTGTGCAAAATTTAGGCTCAAGAAATTCGCTGGAACTCGCTCCATGAATTTCGTGACAGACAGGGATTCAGACACACACACACACACACACACACACACACACACACACACACACACACACACACACACACACACACACACACACACACACACACACACACACACACACACACACACACACACACACACACACACACACACACACACACACACACACACAAACGTAAACAACCCTTAGCCCGTTATTATAAGTTACCAGTGCGTCACCTCCGCTTCGCGGAGGTTCGCACTGGCTCTGCTATCCGTATGCCTTTCTCGTGCTCACATGGATAACTTTGAAACTCACCGCGCGATGCTGAACATCACAAATGGATTGTTAACAAATGTTCATTCTTGAGGCATTTCCATGCAAAATCGGTAATTTTGAAAAAAAAAACTTTTTTGCAAAGAAACAAGTGCGAATTTGAAGCAATTACTGAATTTATCTTGGCTTGATTATTGTCAGAAGTAATAGTGATTTTGGGCTACATTTCTATGCAAAAATCTTTTCAGTTTCTGAGGTAAAACCTTGCGACTATCTATGCAATCACCACTTTTTGGCGCTGTTTTCGCAAAGAAGCAAACTTTACAGCACTTTTTGGGCTAGAATTCATGGGACGCAAATTTACTGGTTAGGCAAATCATAACTTTGCAAAAAGTCGAATTAGCGACCTAATTTTGCGTGCCAAAAGCCGCGTGGACTCGTTTATCGAACCGGTTTCTCTTTGCGCATGGTGGACCTACATGCTGGTGCGGTATGTTGTGCACAATTGTAACTTGATAGCTTGGCTGCAGCTCCCTCTATGAATTTCGTGACAGACAGACATACATACACGCACAAAAAGGCAGACCCTAAGCGCTTTATTATAAGTCATGATGATGTTTAGGCTAGTAGATGCTCCAAAAGATGGACGAACAAGGAAAACGCAGATCCCCAGAGCATCGAATTATGGAGCGGATACTACCTGAATGGGAACCTTTACCCGGGCGGGCGATTGATACTTGCCGTCCCTGGCTGGAAAAAGGCGGCCAAGGCTCTGATTCCGAAGTAAACACAGGAAAGAATTACAAAATGGAGAAATAAAGTGTTAGGTGCTGCTAATCAATAAGCTCCAAAAGCATGGAGGCATCGCTTGTTATTGCTCTGTTATCTCAAAATCAACGCAAGAGCAAATATTTGTGGATTACGAATGACTTAAAACACTTTTTATATTTTGTGAGCTATAATGGCCTATCTGTATATGCAACAACTGCATCTACTGTTCTGCCAAATTCTGATGTAGCAAGGAGGGTTGCGTAGGATGCATGGCATGAGGGGAAAAATAATAGATCTGTAATCTGTAACCTGTAGATTACTACAAATTACAGATTACAGACTTGCGTGAGACTTGGCGTAGAGGGTTGAACGACATGCCAATCAATCGATACTGAATATATCGCGTTTTTTCAAAGATTATGGTAGGGTGTAAGGTATGGAATCACTCTAAAGAGGAAAAGAGTCGCTGTTTCAACAAATATATTATTCGTATTTGGCAGGTCAAACAGCCCACCAACCCAATAACAGTGACTGTTCAAACTTTCAACGTGAAATCGCCAGATCTCAACATGTCTGCAAATCTGATTTCTTTTTCACTGAGCCAAAGACTCAGTTGCTAGCAGTAATTCGAATCGCTGTGTGCGATTCGATGTTGCAAACGACTTCATTTTATTCACAACCCCAGAAACCCTCAAATTTCATTAGTTCTCGAGAAAAGCTTTTTTTCGATTTATCACTTAAAATCTGGACAATCTATGGACCATTTTACAAAATTGCAAAGTTGAAGTGCGTTTGAGTACTTTCAAAAAAGAAAAGTTAACAGAAAAGATGCAAATAATAAATGCATTTTAGCTCATGTTTAGGCTGCACTCTATAAAGCAACCACGTGCGCTTTGCTTTACATTAAGTCATAATGTACCTATGATCAAAACAGCACTTTGTACACATTCTTTGCAGGAAAATGGCTGATAACTTTGTCTAGAGAGGCTTAGCAGATAGAAAAAAGTAGATTTTGATTTAGCGTGTTGTGCTTCAATCCAAATGTTGCAGCTTGTTTCAAATGGCTGATTAGACTTTCGAACATCCCCTTGTAAGATGAAATTTAACACTGACCTTAACATTATAGGGTTTCACGACTTCTTTAACATATCTCCACTGCAAATCAACAAATCTACATTTCTTCAAATTTATAGTGATACACACGGCGGCGCCATCAATGTCCTGAACAGTTCTGAATGGTCTAAATGGCATTAGACTTGTGGTGTTATTTTTTTTTCATAAAAAAAGTCGTTGTCAAACCATTTGATTGTAATGCATAGTTGCGATAGGATAACAAGAAGCTCATCTTTGGCATTTACTTTGGAGCAGGGAAAGTCTCTTCTCCTTCTCTCCCCCCCCCCCCTCCCTCCCCCCTCTTCACCGGAGGAGCAGAAAGATCTGGATGCAAGAGAATAAAACACTCAAAATTACGAAGATTTGTGGTAAAGAAATATATGTTTACGAGATCATTGCGCCAGATACTCACCAGCATGGACGATGGCACATTGCTATTTTACCCAGGACTGACAAATGCAAGTAATTTCATTTGGTAAGGAACAGCATTAATTGTGATTATGAAATTATTGTCAAAGATAAATTGCTACCAGTATTTGATGAAGGGACAAAAAAGCATCAGTTGTTTCATAGTGTCCACTTCAAGCACAGTAAATAATTAGAGCAGAAAATAATGACACGATAGCATATTTTACGTTAAGAGAAGTTTCGAGCAGTGAGCAGAAAATAGCATTGAAGGTCACTTGAGCAAGGCCAGTTTTTCGGGGAACGGAACTTACATACACCATAAGGTTGCCGCCGCCTAGTTAGCGGAGTTCATGAGAGGTCATGAATTGGCAGCAAAGTTAATTTGCACTCAATTTGCGCCGAAGATGAGATGATTCTGCTCACGGTAACTCCGTCATCATCCTGCAGCCTATGAAACCGAAATATCTTTAAAATTGGAATTAAAAGCTCAGTAGTAAAATCAATCCAATTAGGGCAAAAACTTGTATTGAGGGGTATCCCATCACGCTGATTCCAAATATGTTGATCGTTTTGCTTGAAACCTAGGATTTTCTTTAAATTAATACTTTTTTTCACATATAAAAATTTCAAAAAGTCTATGTAAGGGTTTTCTCACATGCTGTTTCCGAAGAAGTTGATAGTTTTGCCTGATTGTAAAAGCTGTAAGGCCTCGGACAGAGTTCACGCGATTTGATCGTCGCGATTCAATCGCCGCGATTTCCATTCATTTCATCTTACACTGAAAAATTTCGGGCTGGAAAAGTATCACAACCGAAATGCAAGTTGGTCGGCATGCAATGAACTCGTAACAGTTGTCTTGTCGCGTTTGAATCGCGACGATCAAATCGCGTGAACTCTGCTCGAGGCCTAAAGGAGTACAAGTTGCATTCGAAACACTGCTGATTAGTCATCTATTGCTAAGCAGATACATTGCAAGATAGATAAACGTTATAGAAAACAGAAAAATTCTGAGGTTTCAAGCAAAACCATCAGCTTCCTCGGAAACAGCATGTCAGAAAACCCTTACATAGAATTTTTGAAATTTTTATATGTGAAAACAAGTTTCATTTTAAAAAAGAAAAAAATCCTAGGTTTTAAGCAAAACGATTAACATATTCGGAATCAGCGTGATAGAATACCCCTAAATACAAGTTTTTGCCCTAATTGGATTGACTTTACTATAGAACTTAGAATTCAAATTTCAAAGAAATTCCGGTTTCATAGGTTGCAGGATGATGACGGAGTTACCGTGAGCAGAACCAGCTCATCCTCGGTGCAAATCGAGTGCAAATTAGCGTTGCTGCCAATTCATGACCTCTCATGAACTCCGCTAACTAGGCGGCAACCTTATGGTGTACTAGCTGGCTTACCCGGCTCCGCCGTATCCGGACCAAACTTGGCACACACACACACTTCGGGCCCCGGCGGGTGTCACAGTCCACTTTTCGTTATCGATCGATGTCGATTTTACCGATTTTTATCGATTTTTTTGCAGAATTCACCTACAGGGCTAGGAGTTGGCACAGGGGGGGAAGTGAGCATGGGGATTCCGAATACAATATTAGTTTCCAGAATTATCGATTACTTTTATTGATCTTATCGATTTTTTGTAAATTTTGACATGCGAGGCTGGGATTTTGCACAGGGGGTAATCGAGCATGCTGATTACGAACACAATATTAGTTTTCAGGATCGTCCATTACTTTTATCGGTTTTATCGATTTTTTTGTAAAGTTTGACCTGCGGGGCTGGGAGTTTGCACAGGGGGGTAATCGAGCATGCAGATTACGAATACAATATTAGTTTTCAAGATCATCCATTACTTTTATCGATTTTATCGATTTTTTGAAAATTCGAGCTAGGGGGCTGGAATTTGGCACAGGGGTGTAATAGCATGCTGATCACCCCCCTTGGGGATGATCAGCATGCTCGATTACCCCCCTGTGCCAACTCCCAGCCCCTAGCTCAAACTTTGCAAAAAAATCGATAAAATCGATAAAAGTAATCGATAATCTCGAAAACCAATATTGTATTCGAAATCCCCATGCTCGATTACCCCCCTGTGCCAACTCCCAGCCCCGTAGGTGAACTCAGCAAAAAATCGATAAAAATCGATAAAATCGATATCGATCGATGACGAAAAGTAGCCTATGACACCCGCCGGGGCCCGTAGTGTATGTGTGCCAAGTTTGGTCCGGATCGGTTCAGAAATGGAATTTTCTATTCGGAACATACGTACACACAGACAGACAGACAGACATACAGACAGACATACAGACAGACAAACAGACATTCAGCTTTATATATAAGATGTAAGTTCCTTCACCCCAGTTTCTCGCATAGTGTAACTGAATTACTCATAGCAGATCTCTTTGCTAGAATGTTTTCCTCTATAAGTGCAAAGAAAAGTAGATGATAAAGTGCCCTTAACTTCGGGATATGAAGCTGCGAAGAGACACATACAATATCGATTTGCAGTAATTTGCACAAGTAAATAAAATACGAAGGGTAAACATGAATCTTCCTCTTCAATGCTATCGATTGATATATGGTGTATGCGAGTTCAATACTCTCAGATAACCGCCGGGGGCAGGCGGCCATGCGAATTTTGAGCAAGCGCGCACCGGAAAAATAGTTCGTTGATTTTTTGCGGCCCGCTTGCAGAAATTTGGAAGAAAGTTGGCAAAATTAAAGACGAATGCTTGAAGAACAATCGCGGTGTGTATGGATTAGCTGCGGCGCAGTGGCCGCATTCTCGCGGACTTCCCGCGAGAATATGCAAAAATTTCGAGGGCCGCACGTTCCTTCGTGGAGGACCGCGCAACCCCCAGGTACTTTCCGCTGAGAGAAAGTACCTCAAACTTGAGTAATTAAACCAACGGTGACACCTCTGCCACACAGAGTCTTACCTGCGCTCGACGTACGCCCGAAAATACCTAAAAAGAGTCCGAGCGCTTGCTGAAAGTTTGGCCAGCGCTCGCTGGAAGATATTATTTGACGAGCGCTCGCAGAAAATTATGTATTGCTGCCCGCTGGCAGAACGCGGAAGTACCGCCCGCTGAAGGTTTGGCCACGCCCCAAAATTCTGCTGACCGCCTGCAGAAAAGCGCGAGTTTGCGGACCGCCTGCCCCCGGCGATTATCTGAGACTGTTTTGCATCTGCAAGAAAGGGAGAGAATGCCCTGTTCAGCATGCTCATCTTTTTGCAGCCGTATATCTCAATGTTGGGCATTTCATAATCTCCTTTTTTACATCTTGTAGAAGAGACTTCGCTTTCACTACCTATACTCTCGCAACAAGATGGGCTGTAAGAAGGAGTTTTATAGTAAGAACTGGAGGGTTTGGTAGACACAGGTAAAGTGTGGTTTAAGTCAGTCGGCACATGAACCTTTGCAAGTTTGTAACGTTATGTGATTTCTCCTTTAATTGATGCAAGAAAAAATAAATATTATAACGGGGGGGGAGGGAAAAGGACTGAACGGGGAACGGAACTTAGAAACCCAAGCCTAATTAGCTCGATTCGGGGAGTGCCTGTAGGTTACAGTCATGCTCGTTGTCTGCGATTACTCCCAAGGACATGGCGACAATCTAAGTCCCGCCCCTCTGAGAGCCTGTTTTGGAATCTGACCAAGAAATGCTGAAAATCCCAGTTACTTCAATTTACTAAAACTGGCTCTCAGCCAAAAATCTTCAAAATGATCGTACAAAGGTGAAATTGGGTTCAAACGAAAGAGGATAACCGTACCGTCATTACAACGTATCTACTGATTAAGATTGATGGAACTCAACATTCCTTTTCTTGTTTAAAAGTTTATCTAAGTGTCAACATACAAAACACTAGTGAAATTGTTTGAGAAATTGTCAACCTTTTCAATAATGTATTTGAGTGCTAATTTCAAATTGAAGGGGCAAAAGACCAGGAAATCATTTGAGAAATGGCAGAAAAACTTCTCAAAAAATATTTCATTTGTGTGGTGGAATTCGGGCGGAAGAGTAGGAAACCATTGAAGACATGACAAATTGCTGAAATTCGGAACCAAAAAAATTCAAGAAATAACAGTTCAAAAACTTATCAGAAATAATGGATTACTTGTGTTCTAATGATTAAACAAAAGATTAGAAAATTATCCAATAAACGAAAGTTAAACTTTTCAAAAATATTTGTTTGTATGCTGAAAATCGCGTGGAAGACTAGAAAATCATTCAAGGATGACGGTCTAACGGCTTCACTATTGATATTGCTGACCAAAGACAACCTGTTAACGACAGACATCCGCCAAAAATGCTGTAAGCAATACCGCAACCTACGGCAAGAAGAGGTTGAAAGAGCAGGCGAAATTTTCCTTATAAATGGTAGCATAAGTATGAAATTGCTTATCGTATTATCGATAACCTCGATTTTTATTTTTATCAGGCAACTCTGATAGTAATGATTACTGAATGTCATGTCTTGAATGTATTTTACCCGAATTTCACTACATGAATGAGTATTACCTTGAGAAGTTTCTAAATTGTCATTTCCTTGATTGATTCTCTATCTCTTGCCCGAATTTCAGCACTTAAATCAATATTATTTTTGAGAAGTTTTTTTTGAGTACTTTCTCAAATAATTTTCCAATCTTTTGCCCGGATTTAACCAAATAAATTATTTTGGAAAGCTT